CTCCCAAGTGGCGCACTATCCAGTGCGCCACCGGGCCGGCCCTAGCCCATGACTTTCTTAAGGTCAACTTGTTCATGGGTCATGAAGCCAAACCCTAGATTTGGGTACTGGAGCCCCCTATGTTACCGACAGGTCCGGCTCAGCTTGCCCTCTCACCTTAAACAAATGACCTGAAAGTCCAAAAATTGATGCAAGGATTGGAAGGTTTATTCAGATTACCAGTACTCAACTGAATATCTAACCAAGCAAAGAAACAAAGGGAAAAGAGGAGCAGTGGGGTCCAGTGTAGGCTTAGTCCCAATCAGCGGGGCCAACCTATTCCATTAATAGTAACTGATAAAAGCAGTTCTCCTCACTGTTTTCAGCATAAAGAAGAAAAGCATCAACTAGATTTAAATCAGAAAAACAAAGCATAGCAGGGAGCCCTCCAGGGTGCACCCATATAGACGTGGATACAATCCAACTAAACAGAAGAGGGCTCAGAAAGTCAGAGAAAGGTAAAGAGAATAAAGCATTGCCTTGTCAGAATTTAGGCCAGGGACTCCAGGAGAGATCTACCAGCAGCAGAGACATGGGAGCAAAATAGTCCCAGTGGCCACTTGCCTCTTGCAGGTGGAGTCTTTTCTGGTGTCCAAAGCTTTCCAATTTTTGCCAGTGATTAAAATAGGCTCTCGGATTCCAAAGCCATAGAAATAAACAATGTACCCAAATAGTAAAGCAAGCAACGCTTTATTTATTAAAAGAGGAGATAGACTTATGCATAAGGTGGGTAGCGACAGAAAAGCTAGCCCCCCGAGGGGAGCTTTTCAGGGTCTTTTATAGGGAAAGAAGTTAAGGGGTATAGACCAGCGTCACTGGAGGTGGTCCATTCAGTTCTTCCTGGTTGCGTCATGGCTGCATGCTCAGTGGGCCGTGGTGTTCCTCATTGTCACCCCAGGAGGGTCATTGTAGCAGTCACCTTGATGCTTTGTGCACAGGTGGGAATTCCTAAAGGGGTCTTAAGGCTAATCTGTAACTTTTGTAATTATAGTAAACAAGCCTTGGAGAGGGGTTTTGCAACTCAGTAAAATATCTGTTTCTTCTCTTATCTCAGTCTGTTTTATCAGGGCAGCCCATGGGGTAATCATTTGCCCTGAGGGGTCTCATGACTGAGGAGTGGAAAAGTAACAAAGTGTCCTCTTCAGGGAAAATGGAGTCAGTTTGGTTCACAGGCCTGGCCTTACTCTGTTTCACCTAGTGATCTTAGCTGGTGGCCTTTACCTTCCCACTGAGTTATTCTTTCCTTTTCTTGTCTTTCTACTTTGCAGTGATCTGATGTAGAACACCCTCCTCCTTTTCTTTTTCTACTTCCTGTGTTTGTATGAGTGGAAGGGCCAGAAATTAGTGTTGAGTAAAGAAATGTGTATGATTTCTGAGGAGATAGAGGGAGAAGAAAAGTTTGGAGTGGGATGTATTATGGACATTTGCAGAATTGTGAGAACTAAGAAACTTTCCTGAGTCTACATACCCAGAGAATAAGATGAAATAAAGAGAGGCCCACTAGAAGACCAGGAAGGAAGGATGCTTTCCACGTCCTTGTGAATACACAGCTCTGTCCATAGCTCCACAACCAACAGCAACAACAAAAACATTTAAAAATCACTCTTTAGACTAAGACACAAAGGTAAATTCAAAGATTTCCCAATGCTGACACTAATAAACGAGGAATATGAATTGTTTTTCTAGATTTGGAGATAGCTCTTGAAATGCCCTCACCACGGATGTTAAAAACTCACCTTCAATCACACCTTGTGCCACCATCTGTCTGGAAACAAAACTGCAAGGTAAAAAGAGCTGGCTTTTCAAAATTCTCTTACTTTGGTGATTATAAATTATGTAGCCAATAATGTCTTTCAAAATAATGTATTTGCTATTTTTCTTAGACTTGAAGTCCTTACAATGAAGGATTACATATATTTGAAGTCTGTGGACATCTATTTGTTTTCTAATATTCTGTTATCTCTGATCCTATTTCATGTTAACCCCTTGGTCAAATTTTCCAAAATAGAATCTGTGGTGCTACAAATCAGAGAGTGGATGGGGAGCTAGAACAGAGGAAAACACATTCAAAAATAAGATCTTTTGCTTTGCTTTGCCAAAGTGCTAGAGGCTATTTCCCTGGCCCCAAAGGCTAAAGTACAGGACCTGCCTTCTGTCAAGGCTTGCCTATCTCTGAATCTTCCCAACAGGCTGGGCTCAAAACCTGCCATCACTTTTATCTCCCTTCTCTGTATCTGATCTCACAGAAGTCCAGTTGCTCCTTCAACAGCACTCTAATCTGTCCACCAAACCCCAGCACCACCAGCTGGACCCAGGCGAGGCCACTGTTCCCTTCCACCTTCCAACGTGCCCATCTGCCTAGAGTGTTGCCATCTCAGATCCTCTTCTTTGTAGCCAGTAATCTTTCTAAAACACAAATCTAACTAAGGCATTTCCCACTTTAAACGTGTCCACAGGTGGATTGGAGACCATGTCCAAATTCTCTGTTGACTTCCAGGCCTCTGGCAGCGTGCACCCTGTTCACCTCCAGCCCGCCTCTTCACACCTCCGTTCTCACTACGGCAATCCTCAGAGTCCTGCAGATCTTCTCACACACGTGCTTCCTCACCCGGCCCCACACGTGCTCATATCACTCAATCCCTCTCCCATTTCTCTGGCTAACTCCTACTTATTCCTCTGGTCTTTGTATAGGTCACACCCACTTAGAAGCTTCCCGGACCCCGTGGCGGGATGAGTTCCACACATATGTGTGGGCACGCATACGCATGTGTCTGTCCCACTGGGTACTCATCACGCTGCAGTGTAACGTTCTCTCTGATAGACTGTGAGCTTCTCGAAGGAATGGCTGTGGTCTTGTCCAATTTTCTATTTTATTTTATTTTATTTATTTATTTATTTATTTTGTCTTTTTTCGTGTCCAGCAACAGATTGCAACCCTCAGTGTCGCACCCGTACCGGACCGGGACCGGCAACGGGATCGCAACCCTCAGTGTTGCACCCGCACCTCGCTCAGCCAGTGAGCGGGAACCGGTCTGTATGTGGGATCTGAACCCTCGGCAGGAGCGCAGCCGCACTTCTCAAGCGGCGCACTGTAGCAGTGCGCCACCAGGCCGGCCCGGATTTCATTTTTTTTAATATAGCAGAATAGTATTCTATTGTGTTATAAATACCATAGTATTTTTATGCATTCACTCATTGATGGGCATTTAGGTTGATTTCACCTCTTGGCTATTGTGAATTAGTTAGTATTGCCATGAACATGGGAGTGCAGGTGTGTGTCTTCAATATATTGATTTTATTTCCTTTGGGTATATACCCAGCAGTGGGATCATTGAGTCATAAGGCCCAAGCGGCACACTGTAGCAGTGTGCCACCAGGCCAGCCCCAATTTTCTATTTTAAGCAGCGTCTTGGCACATAGCAGGGGCTTATGTGTCTGCTGTGTGTTTGTTGAATGAATGATCGTGAATGCCCGATCACCACATCACATGCCACTCTCCTTGATTCTCCTGCATCCCCAGAGAGAAGCCAAGAGCATCCCAGTTGCAGAAAAATGTTACATATCAGCAAAACCAAACCACTTCAAAGTATACAATTAATCTCAGAGAAACACTGTCTGAGACATTGCTCAATAGAGTCTCACTCATATGCCCCAGCACTGCACATGTAATGGAGCAACCTCTGCACTCAACGCCCCAGTTTCTGTGTTCCAGGCCTGACCCTGTCGTCTACTAACCATGTATTAGTGGAAAGTCCCTCAAGTTCTCTAAATCACAAACGCTCCATCATCAAAGAAGGATAGTGTCCCTTCTGTCCTTACTAACCCTGACATTTATGGGAATTCAATGAGATGGTATGTAGGAGATGCTTTCTCAATCTGCAGTCTTTCCCAGTTGTTTGCTGGAGAATTCCCGTCCACCTGTTGAGACACAGCTGACACTGGGTGTCACAGCTCCTGTCCTGTCTGCTCAGGAGTGCTCTGCCGCTTCTTCCTCCTGCAAGGACACAGCTTGTCATATTTCATGCTTATTTGCAGTATGGTCCTAACGTTTTGCTTGTCTTCTGCCATGATGTATCACCACTCTAAGGCTGGGGCTCTCTCGTTTGCCTTTGTATTTGCTGTGTCTACCAGAGTTGCAGAGCCAGAGGCACAGTTTATTCAATTACCATTTTAATTAATAAATAAATAATGTATAACACATTATATACTTAACAGATGTAATTATTATTGTTCCAGAACATTCTTCTACAGTGTTTCTCTTCAGTCTTATTTTTCTTTTTCTGGCTTCTTTCCCCCTCCTGGATTTCAGATTATCTATGTGGCCAGAAATGCCAAAGATTGCCTGGTGTCTTTCTACCACTTTTCCAGGATGATCTCATTACTTCCTGACCCTCAGAGCTTCGACAAATTTTGTGAAAAGTTCATGTCAGGAGAAGGTGAGTACAAACTGATTTTGTGGTGCCCATAAGAGATTCTAATGATAAGCACCTCTAGAATCTGGTAGAGAACAGTACTGAATGTCATCCTGAGAGGCCAGGTTCTACCTTAGGGACCTGGGACTGGGGAAGCCAGGTAGAAGAGATATTTTCCCCAAATTGAATACAAATGTAAATTGAGGCCACCTGAGGGTGTAAGTGTAGGATGAAGGATAAAATCCCACAAATCCTGGGTTTGAATCTTAAACAATAAGCTTCAAAAGTAAGGAGAGGAGGAGACATGTACCGACGGAAAGACATAGAGCAGTGGGAAGGTCATGAGATGATGTCCTGCTAGTTTGATCTGACAGTGAAATCCCACAAATCCTGGGTTTGAATCTTAAACAATAAGCTTCAAAAGTAAGGAGAGGAGGAGACATGTACCGATGGAAAGACATAGAGCAGTGGGAAGGTCATGAGATGATGTCCTGCTAGTTTGATCTGACAGTGTTATTGCACCACAGGGCTGCCGTGTGCAGACACAAAGGTCGTACACTGCACAACCACAGAGTGCCTTTCCCATAGACCATAATGTACAGTCTTTGACTTCTTCTCTGGCAGAGTCTTCAAATTAGAATTTGCAGTCATGGCCCTTCATCCTTGTCCTAAAGACATCACACTTTCCAGGGCACCAGTCAACCTTTCAAAAAAGCATTTGACCAGAACAGAGCAGGCATCAAATCAGACCGGCAAGGACATCAAATCCTCCACAGAGGAAGAATACCTCAAGGAAACAGCAATGTATAGATGGAAGAAGAGACTAGAGGGTTACAGGGGGTGGTTTAGGATGTGAGAAGCATCTTCACATATTTGTAAGAGCTCTAATGTAGAAACGTGACTGTAGTTATTTTGTTGTAGCTGCAGTGGACAGAACACAGACAAATGGATGAAAATTACATGGTCTCTGCTTAATGAATGTTTCTCAAATTACTAGAACGTTCATAAATACAATAACTGCATTGTGATGGTGAGAGCAAGTATCTGTCACAATGCTGGGCAAAAGGGCTGTCTCCAAGCAGGAAGTAGTCAGATGGCAATGAACAGCTCTTCCTGACCCAAGACTAAACAGAGAGGGCAGACACGAAAAGCACACATTGCCGAAAAGTCAGGTTAACAATATTTCAGAGCCACTGCTGACAATGTATTTATTTGATTAACTTTAATTCCCAAATCAAAAAGTATTTTGCAGGGCCCCCATGAGTTCATTGTATCCAAATCTGACCACAACATTCATATTCCCTTGAGAAAAACAAAGACCCAAATGAAATGACTTCCAAAATACAACCTGCTTAGAAACAGGAATCTGTGGAAAAGTCAGTAAGAAATAATCTCCATCAAGCATGTCCCTCAAGTGACTCAAGAAAGATACCTCTGCCAGAACAATTTCTCTAGAAACAAATGAGAAGAAAGAGGAGAGAGAGACGATGATAAGGAACGTCAGGTACAGATCTAGAGAGGGCTCTCGGTGAATGCATTTCCTGATATCTGTAGAGGGGATCGTTGAGAGCAGGCGAGGTGAGTGGAAGCGAGGGAAGCAGAAGCGCCCAAGCCTCTCTGCGATTCCCAAGTCCTGTGCTGTGTTGGCTACTTTTACATGTCAACTTGGCTGGTCTGTAGTACCCAGTTATTTAATTAAACACCAATACAGGAGTTTCTGTGAAGGTATTTCGTAGAGGTGATAAACACCTACAATCAGTTGACTTTAAGTAAAAGAGATTGCTCTCAATGACGTGGGGGCCTCAGCCAATCTGTGGAAGGTCTTAAGAGCAAAACCTGAGGTTTCCTAGAAGGAGAGAAATTCTTCCCTAAGACTGCAACATTAAATCCTGCTTGATTTTCTACAGATTCCAAACTTGCCAGGCCCCACAATTGTAGGAGCCAATTCCGTAAAATACTTATACATAGTCAGGCACCACATAACGATATTTAGGTTAAAATGAACCACATGTCTGACAGTGGTCCCACAAGATTATAATGGCCACGCCACACAGCCTAGGTTTGGAGTAGGCTGTACCATCTAGGATGTGTGTAGGTCAGGCACCACATAACGATATTTAGGTTAAAATGAACCACATGTCTGACAGTGGTCCCACAAGGTTATAATGGCCACGCCACACAGCCTAGGTTTGGAGTAGGCTGTACCATCTAGGATGTGTGTAAGTACACTCTATGATGGTCCTACAACATCAAAACCACTTAACCACACATTTTTCAGGATGTATTTCCATCATTAAACAACATGTGACTGTATATATAACATACAATGGTACCTCAAGAAGTTTAGTTTGCAAAAAGTTTCACATTATCTTCCAATTCTATTTTTCCATGAACTTTTGGAAGTATACACACACACACACTTGTATATACACCCTTTAATGTACACACATGCACATATATACATGGATATGTTCTCCTGTTGGTTACTCTGTTGGTTCTGTTTCTCTGGAGAACCCTGACTGACACGTGTGTCAGTCAGCATGACACATGCCAGGGTTCAAGTCAACTGCAAACGCACATCTCTGCTCATACGCATTCAGCAGAGAACATTTCACCCACTCGCTTCCTTGGTCTGTGGACCTATCACTTGATGACAATGTTTTTTGTCATCCTTCAGAAAGCTTCATGTCCACTTTGCACAATGCTTGCAACATAGCAAACACTCAATGAAGATTACTGCTGTGTTTATAATCACTCCTCAGAAGCAAACCACAGAGCTGTCATGAGTGCCAGTCTATCAGGGACACCAGATCGCCACTGGAAGGAATAAAAATGTGGTACTGGCTAACTCAGGTCTCCACTCATTTCTTACCTACTGGTGAAAAGATGTATCCCGTGTTTGCCAAGTAGACTTAGCCCATAAATGGAACTAAAAGTTCTCCCTCGTGGCACCTCTGTTTCTGCTGCTGCTGCGTCTTTCTGATAATGCACTTGCAAACTGGGTACACAGCTACAAGGTGAGGGTGGCAGGAGGTCTGCAGCCCTAACACTAAGCTGCCTGTGTCAGTAGTTGAATATGGAACTAAGTGCAAGGAACAGGTGAAGTATTTTATCACCTACATGGTTTCAGGTGAGTCCCAAGACATAGTCCAGGTGGGCAAAGTCACATATAATAAATGTATATTAAAAGTACTTGCTTTAAAGTGTAAAGATGGGCACCTTTTATTAACAGAAAATTACTTACCCATCACTAAATAAGCTGAATAAAAGATATGGAGGCTTATTTCAAAGAGATGCTAAATTATCTTATCACCTTGGGTTTGTCCCTGGTCCTGAGAACTAACAGTGCTCCTACCACTTCCAGTGCTTTATGGGTCCTGGTATGACCACGTGAAGGGGTGGTGGGCTGCAAAATACCAACACCGGATCCTCTACCTCTTCTATGAAGACATGAAAAAGGTAAGTACTACTGAGCATTGTTGGTGAGACCCAGCAAAGCCTCCTCATGATTACATTCTGTACAATAAGCTGTCTCTTGAATTAGCCAATGTCTTCTTTCCACCCCACCCCCCATAATGCCATTTTTTCCTGTGGTCAGAATCCAAAACGTGAGATCCACAAGATGTTGGAATTCTTGGAGAAAACCTTGTCAGAGGACGTTATAAATAAGATCGTCCACCATACCTCATTTGAAGTAATGAAGGAAAATCCCATGGCCAACCAAACTGCTGTTCCTTCCAACATATACAATCACACCATCTCGCCATTCATGAGGAAAGGTGGGTGATATTTATTTAATTCAGTTCTAAAACATATTCTGCCCCATGAGCCAGAACAATTTTATAGTTAGTTTTCAGGAGCAAGTGATACATTTCAGTCCTATTACAGGTCTCTGCCCCCTTCACCCTCTCTGCTTATTGAAAACTGATGCCAGTGGTCCTAAAACACGTGTCCACATCACAGTCCCTGGAGGACCCCCTAGAGCACTGGTGGCTGGGCCCCTCTCCCAGAGATTCTGACTGAGTGGGTCTGGCAGTGGCTCTAGAGTTCACCCTTCTCACGAGTTCTCAGGTGGTGCTGATGCTGCTGGCCACTTTGAGGATCCCTGTTCTTTGCAAATATAAGACCCGGCACAACCAAAATCTCTTTCTCTTGCATCCTCTCAGCAGCCTTGGGCACCTTCTCTGTTGGTCCATCACTGTTTTTGTTCAGAGCTCTAGTTTAGCACTTAGCACTGAGCTTTCCTTTCTGTCTCCAGAGCAAGAATATAGGTTGTCCAGAAGAGAATATCATGTTCAGTTTTGTCCACTAGTATCTAGTACAGGGCCTCAATAGGAGGAACCTTGTAGGAACTCAATAAATGCCTGTTGAGTGAGTGAATGAGCGAGTGTGTGGAAGGATTAATGAGACATTGTTTATGTCTGTTCTCAGGAGGTCAACAGTCTAGATAGAGTAATAGATGCATAAAGTTAATGATAAGAAATTACAGGGGGAGCTGTACTACTGGGTCCCAAATACCAGTCCACCTGAGTGCATCTAAATAATCTTTAAAAACCCAAACTCCCTGACCCCAAACTTGAATATTCTAATTCACTGGTTAAGTTAGAATTAAGAATTCACTATTATTATCAAGCACTTCAGATTAATCTTCTTGCCAAGGGGTGGGAAACCAGCAGAAATAAACTACAAGGAGAATTGGAGGAACAATTCATTAGTTCTGCAGTGGTTGACTGCCAACGTGCAACAGTTTGCAGAAGATCATTAATATCCAAATGTCACTTGTGCAGAACGAAGTGTCTTTTTTTTTTTTTCCTTTTTGTCTTTTTTGTGACTGGCAACGGATTGCAACCCTCAGTGTCGCGCCCGTACCAGACCGGGACCGGCAACGGGATCGCAACCCTCACCCTCGGTGAGAGCACCGCCGCACTCCCAAGCGGCGCACTGTAGCAGTGCACCACCGGGCCGGCCCCAGAACGAAGTGTCTTTAATTCTCCCCAACAAGAAAGATCTTATCCACTGAGGAAACTGTTGCCTTGTAAGATGTTTCACTGTGCCTGAGGAAATGATACAGGAAGTGCTTGAGGAGGTCCATGACGGTAACCAGTTCTCGACATTGGGTTGGATGCCCCAGAGCCAATCGCCAACAGGGGGCACAATAAGGCAACACAGGCAGAGCTCTCAGGGGGCCTGTGGAATTTGAAGAAGGGAGCATGAATATGACATGTGTCTTGTGAAGGTAAATTCAGGTGGATGGGGTTAGGGACCATCAGTGGTGGGAAGGTAGGTGAGTGGAACTGAGGGACCCATCAGTCGTGGCAAGGTAGGTGGATGTTGCTGAGGGACCATCAGTGGTGAGAAGTAGGTCAATGGGGCCACAGGACCAACAGTGGTGGGAGGGAAGGAGGATGGGGCTGAGGGTCCATTAGTGGTGGGAAGATACGAGGATGGGGTTGAGGTTCCATCAGTAGTGGTAAGAAGGGTGGATGGGGCTGAGGGTCCATTGGGTTGGTAGGTGGAGAGACTAAAGGGCCACTCATGAACTTTTTGATGTCCTACAGGGATGCCTGGAGACTGGAAATACCATTTCACTGTGGCTATGAATGAGAAATTTGATGAGCATTATAAGAAGAAAATGGCAGGGACCACACTGACCTTCTGCACAGAGATCTGAGAAAAGAAAAAAAAAAAGGAGAACATGCCAAGTGCCTTTTATTGTATGGGGGAGGGTGTTGAGGCTCAGTGTGAAGCTTATTAGCATTCAGTTTCTGTCTTCCAGGGGCTTGGCTAGACTGCTATAGAAGTAAAACATGATTTAAAATATTGACCAACGTGCTACTACGGTAAATAAAATAAGTGCATTGGAAAGCAGTGGCTGGGCTCCATGGAGACTTTTAAATGCAAGTGTGTTTTTTTGTGCATAACTGGTAGGGCAAGAACAAACAATCGCATGTTGCATTCACGTGTGTAACCTAACATGGATTTCACAGCAAACAAGAGATCAGTATTATGAACCTATCACTAAGAGAAGAGACTATGGCTAGGCATAGAGCTTTATCTATAAGTAATTACTTGTAACAGAAAAGAGCTGATAAATAGGGTTCAGTCATAATTGATCTAATATGGAGATATGTAACTAAATTGCCTCTGAAAAAATAAATCAATGAGAAAGCAAGGTTACTTTTCTCAAATTTGATTAGTACACAGTTTTTTAAGCAAAAGAGCTTGAATTCAAGAAATCAAGCAGCGAGTACTCCTGAAAAATCTTTCCTTAATGTAAATGCACCTGCTCTATGTACCTGATCTGTAAACCAAGATTTGGGACAAAAGGACCATGACTGTGTTGCCATTTCTCTTGACAGTCTCCCTTGAATCACTTCAACAAGCATGATCTCAGATTTATTATAAATTTAGGGCTTCAGCTGTGCTCCACTGAAGCCCTGGCTTTTTATATGACTGAACACGACTGTCTCCTTAGGAGGGAGTAGTCCTGAGAGGCTTTGGTACTGTGGGTGGTGCCACCTGGGCAGATGTCCTCAGAAAGGTGACTATCCAGTGGAGACCAGGGCTGCACCTACCTGTCCCCTAGAGAGCAAGGCATGTGCCAGAAAGGGGGAGAATTTGGAGATTTTAAACTCAGAAGTAAAATGAGAGCAACTGAAGATGTCTCAGTTACCATCTCGACAGGCGGTGAAGAACAGTATACAGAGGTCCTAATGCACAGAACAAAGTGACCTCTCAGTGGTTGCGATTATTGTCCCTACCTCACTGTGGAAATAAGGCAGTGATATTTCCCTGAGGCAAAGGAGAAATTCCATCCCATGCTCTGTCAAAGTTATACAGTAGATAATGAGATATTTAAATAAGAAAGGAAAGCAGCTAGTCCCTAGAGCCTGCTGTAAGGAAAGAGGACAGAGATGGTACATCAGCTGAGAGGTGTCCCCGGGGTGAAGTTTCCCAGGCTGCCACCATCCAACCCGGTAGCCCAACTACCTGGAATAGAACCTTCATGTTGTGCTGATGATCTAGGGGAGAGATTTCCACCACTGCTCCTTAAAGGCATAGGAAGAATAAAAGAGATTGTTTGATCACCACGGAATTATCGGTGCACTTAAAGGAGCAGTGGGCTTTGCAATTTGAGAGGAGAGAAGACATAACAAGTAGTGAGTTCTGGGACCCAAGGTATTGTCCAAGTCCAAAGTAGGCCTCAGAAGTGGAGCAGGGAGACCAAAGGAAAAGTGACCCTTGTTTTCTTACTTGGAAGTGATTATTGATTGAAAAGCAATTGAATGGTGGGAATAAAGACAGTTCCTCTGCTACCCTTTGGACTTGAGTGTTCATGACCAACTAATACAAAGATCATTTTCTGTATGCAGTGGATTGTACCTGCATGCCCTTGCAAGAATTAAGGGGCATGATGCTGAGATTCCAGGTGTATAACAGAGGCTGATGTGTTTGGGGCAAAGCATTTTGTCTATACGAATATAATGCTGAGAATTGGGAAAGGGTTGGGAACCCTTTGATGAAAGATCATAGAAAGTAGGAACAAAGTAGACATGCGCTTCTTCCCTAACGGTCTGAGCTGCTCCTCATCCTTCAGAGCCACGTCTTGCTGCAGGCTGCTGAGCTGATTCAGGTGACATATGTGGAGTGCCCGATGGCTCCTGTAGAGGTTTCCCTGGGAGGGCACCCTCCCAGAGGAGTGGATGAGAACACATTTTCTCAGTCCTTTCCCAGCAATGGATATTATCACTGTTATTTAATTTTTGCTAATCTGAAACCCCAAATTTTTTCCTCATTTTTATTTTGTGTTTTGTTTTGTTGGTGTTATTGTGTATCATTCATGGTTTGGAATTTCTGCATGTGCGTGTGTGTGCGTGTGTGCGTGCGTGTGTGTGTGTGAGATTTACCTGTTCGTGGCTTCTGTCTCTACTTTTTTGAGGCATTCGTCTTTTTTCTGTTTTATAAAGTACAGATGTGTTTATACGATATATATTTGTGTGTGTATGTATTTACTTTCCCCAAAACTTCTTTATTTATATTTTAACTTTGTTTATGCTCTATTTTATCAGTTTCTCAAGTTTGTAGGATTTGTAATCAGATCCTACAAAATTATTTTCTTTAATGATTTTTGATATTTAGAACACTTGTAGTTTAAATCTTCAATTCCTTCATAATCATATATAGGATAATGAAGGGATTTAACTATTTTTCCAATTTTTCCAGTAACATTAATCAAATAACACCTTACTTCCCACCAATTTGGAATTCTAGTTTTATTCTTTCTAAAGCTATGAATACACATATTTTGATCCACTAAGCTACTTATCCATGACAATGCCAACTTTTAAATAAAATGTTTCCTTCTTCCCTTATTTTTCAAGTTGATTTTTATTTAGTTTAAAAAATACATTTTACATGAATATTAAAATATTTGTCAAGATTAAAAAAGAAATCAAATTTGGTTGAAATTACATTATATTTTTCTAGGTTATAGAATAATTTTATGTTCTTAAAACATTTACAACATTAAATGTTTACTTCAAGAAACATGTAAATTATTGTATATATTTATATTTTATAAAATTTATTTCCTCTAATAATTTTTTTCCTACTGATATAAACATATTTTGTTAATTTTTATTTTTTATTTTTATTGAATCAAAAAAGTCATCTTTTTTCCTTATTCATATTATCCATCTTTGTTCTTTAATGCCAGCATCAAGGAAAGTTATTTGATTATAAGTGTTTATTTTCTGTGTATGTATGTATACACACCCACACACACATATGTACATGTATATATAGTGACCACATTACCAAACTCCTTCATTAGTTCCAATAGTATTCAGTTACTTTTCTCAGGTTTTCTTTGCACATAAGAGTCTTCATTTGGGCCCTCCCAAAATTGGTACAGCCATTGTGGAATACAGTATGGAGGTACCTCGGTGAACAAAAAATTTAACTACCCTATAACCCAACAATCCCACTACTGGGCATATATACCCAAAGGAAATGAAATCAATATATGGAAGAGACACCTGCACACCCATGTTCATTGCAACACTGTTCACAATAGCCAAGAGACGTTATCAACCTAAAGTCCATCAATGGGTGAATGAATAAAAAAAAAACACTGTGGCATATATGCCCAATGGAATACTATTCAGCTATAAAAGAAATGAAATTCTGTTATTTTTAGCAACAGGGATGGAACTGGAGAAGTGAAGTAACTTGGGCACAGAAAGGCAAATACCACATGGTCTCACTCACATGTGGAGTCTGAAAAAGAAAATAAACAAATAAACAGTGGTTCTTACAGAAGTGGAGAGTAGAACAATGGTGACCAGAGGAGGGAGGGGGACAGAAAGCGGGGGTTTAGCAGTACGAGGCTGTGCTGTCTACCTAAGTCAATCAATGTACAGAACACGCATATATGGAAGCAACACACTGTACCCCACACATATGTACAAGTAAATGTTAAAATTAAAAAAAAAAGAGGAAAAAAAAAGTTGTATGTGAGCCCTGACTCAAACCAAAGTAAAACTGAGGGAGAGGGGATAGGGACAGAGCAGGAGTCTGTTGACTCATGTAACTGGGAAGTCAATATACAGCAAACTGTTTTATCACACCTTCTTTCTCTTACACCTTCTTGCTGATATTCTTGGCTCAGTTCAATTCCCTCCTCAGGCGGGCTCTTTCCTGCTTATTGGCATCTCCACCAAGCCACAATCATTCTCACAGCTTTTGATCCTAGGAACACTGACCATAGTTTCAGAAAAGACTCTGATGGGCCCTGCTTGAATCACAAGCCCATCGAAGACACATCTTTCTGTTCAGGAGCATGGGATACTCTGGCCAAAAGGTCTTCTCCACCCCGTCCCCTCCCTGAGATGACTTGGAGCCTGCCCAGCCCATACTCAGGCATCTTGATCTCAGCTTTATGGCCTCGGCTGCTGGCAACCAGCAGAGGCAGGAATCCCCTGCCTCCTACATAGCCAAAGGCATCTCGGCTGGGGTTTCAGGAGTCTCTTCTAGCAGCATTGGACATAATCCTGGATAAGTCTACCAACCAGAGTGCATCCAGTTCTTCAAACAAAGAAAACACTGGAAGCAGCGGTTATGAGAAAAGTTTCAGACTTGGGAACAGGCTGTGACCCTGCATGGCAAGGCTGTGGTAGCAGATCTGGACTGGAAAGCCAGGCTGGGTTAGAGGGAAGCCACCGTGAACGCACTCACCTTGGTTCGAGGACTTGAGTACCTGTTTTCTCTCAAAAACTGCATTAGTACAAGTGAATAACATAACCACACTGAGTGGAGTGGGAAGGAAAGAACTAACTAAGTGATGGTAGAAAGCAGTCTGGCCTGGATATTGTGGGAATAAAGACCAAAAGAACCGCACGGTAATGCAGTATGCTAATCAGTAAATATGTTTCTCATAGGACTGTGTGTTAGCAAACCCGAAACTAATTCACATGTATACTAAACTTAAGCAAATGAGGAATATTTTCTAGATAATGAGAAGCAGGTTTCTTTTTTTTTTTGTCTTTTTTCGTGTCCGGCAACGGATCGCAACCCTCAGCGTCGGACCAGGACTGGCAACGGGATCGCAACCCTTGGTGCCGTGCCCGCACCTCGCTCAGCCAGTGAGAGGGAACCAGTCTGTATGTGGGA